GCTTCCCATCCTTCTTGGAACGAATGCGAAATTCTGTATAGATTTTTCCATTGTGGTCAAAGACTGTTGGAAGTAAAGGTTCAAGAAACATGGTTTGTTCCTTCATCTGAACTTTCAGAATGTTCAACTTCTCCGTAAACAACAGTGGCACTTTACGTTTTCGTAAAAGATATTTTTGACAAAACTCAGAGTCACACGCAAAATCTGGGCGTTTGCATGTGGCGTACGTTAAGTAACATAGTTCGCAAAATACGTATACCATAAAAAAAACATTGAAACCGTGCACCGCTATTGCTAAGTTTGTTTTAGCTAAACTTAAATGATTAATACAACGTCTTACAACTTTCAAATTGAGTCGGCAAGAAAATTCAGATGGATAATCTGTATGAATACAATGATCTGTCGAAAGGGTAATCGACAAGATGGCCACTCTGAAAATTAACCGTACAAATAGCTGAAAGACACACATCGTGAAAATGCGCCTTGTCGTTATCTTTTGTGTACGTTGCGGGTTTTCTTTGTCAAACTTACAAAGTTCTTCAACGCGTTCAACTTGGGTTTTCACACAGCACCAAGAATAGATAATACATACGGCTGTCGGAAAGAAAAAGTTCAAGTTTATGTGTAGGAAATTTGAAATAGGGGAATCAAAATGTTCGCTATAACGAAGGTGACATTCTTTTTGAACAAAGTCCTTGCCTTCGTCACTCGCGTTCTTTCTGACATTGCTGCATCGAAAATGAAGAGTTTCTTGAGAGTTTAAAACAAGTGCAACACCTGACAATAAAGTTCCTAAAATGAAATTCGATATTGAAGCAATATAATCTCTCTGTCCCAATCGTGATGTTGTCAGGATTTCTTTAAAAGATTCCATTTTAACCACAATAGTAGGTAAAGTTAAGAGCAACTGTGATACACTTTAGTCTTGAAGTTGGCCTTGAAACAACTCGAATGACACTTCGAGGGTAAATGAATTGAACAAACCCGTTCTAAGAGACCAAATGCTAGTCTAAATGTTTATGGCAACGTTCATAGCATTATATAGACCGGTCAGGTGTATTACGTACTTTTATTTTGTGTTTTGTTTTTGGATGATAGACAATGAGAAGTTTCAAGATTTTTACCATAGTTGGTAATGTTGTGGCACATCAGAAGATTCTAATATCTCGTCATGACATATTTTCTTTCAATATAATTACTCAGCATGAATCCAATTGTACAGAAACATCGTCACGATTCCAGGAAAAAAGCCCCTAATTGCCCTAATTCTGACGTCAGAAAGATAACATGATTTAGGTCAATGTGTGCTACCGTACTTGGTTGCACGTACCAATAATTCCAGATACCAGGAGTTTTTTTCTCCAATAAACTTAGTCAGGGATGCCGGATCGAATTCGGTGCCAGCATTTATAGAAAAGCGTCGGTCGATCAGTCAATCACTATTGTTTCTCTTCAATAATACCATATTTGGTAATGTTGACATACATACTATAACGTACGTCATAATGAAATAGGGCAATTAAGAGCTGTTACAATAGGGTAGAACATAAAGGTAGAACCTTCGATGACAGCAGCTGGCGTTATCACTATAGACACCTTGGTCAACAAAATTTTTGAAAACTTGATTTGGACGTTAATCAGTTTGCGACTGAAAAGTGGTAGTTACGATAAATGATAAATGATATGATAAATGATTTCAAAAATACTTATTACAGAGACAGGGTGTTTTGTTAGTTATAGTTTGCTTTGTTTTCGAGGTCTCAAAAGTTTTCAAATTTCTTAGTGAATATAGTAAACTAGTCTCCTCTCGCAGCCGTTAGGACGTTCGTTCCCAGGTCACTCCCCCCGAGTGACCTGGGAACGAACGTCCTAACGGCTGCGAGAGGAGACTAATAGTAAACCTGCTATCAGAAAGGTTACCGCCATTGATTAGTCTGGTAATATCTAAACCCAAGACATTCAGCGTTTCTCTTAATATAAATTGCCATAAGAAATGCTGTTCGTTTAGCAGCCATTTATGATAATCCTTTGGTTATCTTTTTTGCTTCCATAGATTCGGTAAAGGTAGCCAAATACTAAAAAGCACAGGGATCCCGTACGAATGGTAACAATTCAATTACATGCTCTGCATTGTAAAAGCCATCAAACCAGCACGCTCCGTCTTCGACAATATAAAATATAGTTATCACATTTTGAATCGATATAGATGCCTTTTACTTGTTTGATGCTGACAATAATGTCATCAATGTTCATTTAACAAAGAAATTTTATTTTACAAAGAAATAAATTAGAAAATATGATTTGTAGAAATAAAATTTTATAATGTGATTATCAATAATCATAAAATCTCAGCTTTTGTTGATGTCAAAATTGCTCTAGATGCGGAACACTTACTAAGTCACATTGCCTATTTACAATCGCGACATTTTCCCTTCTACATATGATAAAAAACTTCTTCTATAGTCGTATCGGTGTCATTACCCTGAAACAAAGAAAAAAATCTTTTTTAAGCTAAAGGAAATGCCATAGAGTTGGTACAGTAATCTATTTGCAAGACTAAAGTGCATAGATGGCCCAAGGGGGGAAGGGTCGGGATTAGTCGTCCCTTCAATACTATGACAGCGATACATTATCTTACATTATTTAATTCTGAAAAAACCTCTGAAAGAACCACATCCAGGAGTGTGTAGGCAAGCTAAAAAAGAAAAATACTGTTAAAAATGTTTATGATTTGAATGTCATTGAAAGACTGATCCATGTAAAAAGCATTGAAAGTCTAAACTCTGTTTCATACGCGTCGAATACAACATGTGTCGAATTCACTGCAATGAATGAATGACTAGAATGACATGACAGAAAAGATAGGACCAGTTTCCCATTGTCTTCAGAACATGTGAATGAACAGACTTTTATCGTAAACTTTGGTTGCATGAGAAATAAGTCGCTAGGCCATGTGGGATGGGGAATAATATAAGAGCATGCGCATGAGACTATAAAAACCTGCTTATTGAGCTTGGGATGCTGAAAGACTTCCAGCAATAGATTCATGGCATCTCTGTTTCTGGTTTTCCCTATAATATGTACAAGTAAATCTGCAAAAAAAAGATTGAAATCATAGTGATATCAAAAACAATCGACAAGAATTGTCAGTCCTATAGTTACCTGGAAGAAATTCGACCATTTCTTTAAGGGTTTGTTCCCTTCTCTCTAGTTTATCGGCATCAGTCCTTTGTAAGAAAAAGTTGAATTCATAAGGATTACACCGTATTCACTAATATTTCATTTTAAGAGTGCAAAATTAAATTTACGGTACTTCTCTACTTCATAATACATTATATTACCTTGGTGGATCTTTGTCAAAGAATATTGCATCTGTATCAATAATACAAAAAAATAACCATAAATTGGACAACGAATATTAGGTAAACACAASCAGAAGATAATCTTTTCAAGGCCGATTTAAGCCTTGTTGAAACCGATGTGTTATCGTATTGTTTTTGTATTTTTTCCATTCCCTTATAGACAGGAACAATCCAAAATGATGAGAGAATCATTGTTAGATTTTTCTCATTGAAAAACAATGTCTGAAAATTCAGTCTTTATAGTATATAATTTCACAATTATATTATTAGATAATTTCAGCCAAGCAGTAGTTAAAGACTATATTTATCCTTTCATAGTTTCGTCATGATTAAATTCAATTATAATTATCACTTATAATTATTACATGTTATTGGTACAAAATGGGTCATTGTGTACCTCTRAGTAGATGTACTATCATGGTTATCCTATATTCTTCTTTGAGAAGTTCAATTTTAGAATTGAGGTAGCTGTAAAAGCATGATAAAATGTGAGGTACATCTTTGGCTGAGAGGACAAACAATCGCTTGTCCTCTATTCAGTTATTGTTTGCTATCAACACTTCAGAAGATACATTAATACGGGTGGCAGTAATGCAAAGAAACTTTTTATCCACAAGTGGTTGAAACACAAAGATGTCTATCATTATTGAATTAATAATTAGTAATAATTACCGATCAGCAAAGTAATTCATKGACTGTCCACCAATAATCTTCAATGATGACAAAATATGCAACATCCATCTGGGTAGTTTTACAAGTCTGTCAGCTGGAAAGTAAAAGAAAAAACACACACCCTACTAAACAATATGCCTTTATTACAGAAATATATGTCTTATCAAAGATTGCATCATTAGAAATCTGCAGTTTGAATATCCTTGCTCACCTATGAAGAGTATGTAGTCTGTTACTCCACTTAAAATGACATCTGACAAATAAAAAAAAGCAAAGGAAAGCTAGTTATAATAAATTGTTTTTATGTACTATTGTTCAAAATATCACCAACCTGAGTTTCTGCTGTCTGTTTTGACATAAAATTTATCAGCACTACAAAATATCAAGGACATAGTTAAAATCTCATTCCCCACAGGTAGCCCAAGTGGTATTCTTAACTGGCTAGGTTAATGACTTTTAATGAATGGTAAAAGAGATAACTTACGAACTCTTTTTTCTTCTTGGACACCACTGGTCTAGCTGAAATATCAATAAAAGATATTTATTAAATACACATGATAAAAAATCGTTGTAGTTTCGAAGCTGAGATTGAAGGGGATTTCGATATATTGAGCCTAAACAGCAATGTTTTGGAACTGAAACACTGCAGTACAAGCATGCATAATATTGCACTAAAATAATTGACTTCACCATTCTTCATTTTGACATTTGATATATGACCTTTTTGAACCTGACAGCTTTTTTCATTTGTTTTTTATTTAAAAGAAATATGTTTGATAATATCAAATAAAATTCAATATACAAGATAACACTTACATCTTTTGTATGGTTTAAATCACTTGTTTGTACACCAGCATCAACAGACTGACTTCTGTGTAATATTAATCAATATTTAAAACATTTTCTCTTACAAAACAAAGGAAACCAGTTGCAATGCAATCGTTATTGCATGATTTATTATACCTTGCTAGTGATGGCATTCTTGCTGTCTCCTCAATGGAAATTAGGTATGCATGCAGGAATGGATCAATGTTCTGTCCTCTCTGTGGAAACAGGAATTTTTGTATCAAAATGCACAGTGTTCAAATTCACACAAAAMGGACTTTACTTTATCATTGATTATACCTCTTTGGTAAAAATTGTTGTTACTGTCTTCAAGGTTTTTCCTTTCAAGAAAAGAGTTCAAAAATGAAACTTATAAATTATTTCCATAGCCAGAAAGTCATCATTTCTTGCCATGAGACAGTGTAACCAAAACTCCCTTCACCCACCCCCACAGCCATTTCTTTTGTATTCTAGTAATAGACAGCTCCTCTTCCCTTGTCTCGCCAAAACAACACATATAATTATAGCTCAAAGATATCAACACATTGTACCTGCAATATTGCCTTTCCTGCTCTTTGATTCAAACATGTTTAGAAATTCTTTGTTTGGTGACAAGAAATAAAACAGCAAAGCACTGCCYTTMGTGAGTGGGTTTTTGGACAACTCCTGTGAAAAACRTATGAATAACTTTAGTTACTTCCAGGTGAGTCTTTCCCYGAAAAGGTAGGATAATTTTTACCTGTATATAGCTTTCAAATTGATCTCGACAGGACTCGTAGTAAGCAGCTGGTTTCTTGATGCTACCCATTTTAGAACTGCTTTGCTTTACAGGAAGTGATGAATTATCTATTGCACCTAGAAGATTTGTTTACAAATAGTTTTAACAATCTGAAAAGGTTTTATGAACTATAAAGACATAGTTTTGAAATGGTAAGTTGACTCARTGAATCAAGTACCATTTAGTTATCAGTTTTGAACTGAAGTGAATATCGAGAAGTGATTTTTATTTCTCAAAATTGTTTCCCAAAGTCAGGGAGCGACTTATCTATGAGTGCACCTTATTCATGACTCAAGATGGTAAAAATTCAAATTAAAGATTGCCAAGAATATAAGTATTCCTACCGTGGAATTCCTCAAGTTTGCTCTGAAGTACGTAAAACTCTTTGTAGCGCCTGAATTAYAAAAAGGAAACTTTAGTACAATTATCATAAAGTATTACAGTCTAGAGGGAAACTTTTAAGTTAAAATTTTATTAGTTGATTCTTGAAAATGACATGCAATTAAATGGTGTAATACTATATCCAGTGAATCAATTTGTTACTTTATACCTTGCAACATCCCAAAACTTTTCCTCTCCTGCAAATAACAACAACACAATCATTGATATAAATGCATGCATGTACACTAAAAAAATGGAAATCCTATGTGTTAATTCAGTCTAGTSCAACATCCATTTAATATTCTCTTCTGTGGTTCCCTGCACCATCTTGAAAAGACAGCTGTGCCATTGCAATGAGGAAAGAGAACTGTTGAGTGAGCAATAATAGAAACCTTCATGCCTACAGACAATTACTCAAAGGTGTTTATCATTGCATGCTCAACAGGCATCTCATTTCGATGCAAAGGCATGGAACTTGTATTTCAAGATGGGACAGTGAACAGTAAAGGAGACTACTGCGTGTTAGCTTACCATCCTTGGCATCTTKCCTCTTCACAGAAATAATATAAATGCATTTCTGTGCATCAATAAAAAAAGCTAAATTAATCAATGTGTTTATGTTCACATGCCTGTATTATATACTAGACAAGAAAGACTCCATGCACTCTTTTATGAAGGATACTACCTTATAGTTATTAGAGAGTGGTTTTCATAAACCCGTGAAACAAAGTGTAATAATTAGAGTGTAATCGATCGTAATAGTCGATAGAGACAATAAAAAACAAAAGAGCCAAAGTGTACTAGCAATAAATATGCTAAAGTGTGTTTCACAGGTTAATGAAAACTATCAAGCAAGTTCAATAGATATCATGATTCCTTGCAGCCTTAAATTAAGTTTACATACTGTCATTAATAGAAAGTTAGTCTTACATATTTATTTTCCATTATAACATGTGGTATGCTGATTTTCCATGTACTTAAGTCACGGCTTTCTTCATCAGGAGCTTCAACTTCATCGTCACTATCCATKGCAAAGTCCTATTTAAAATCAAACAATTATGAATAAACTACTTTTGCCTTTTTACTTAAAATATCATTCTGTTTTTATTATCAATTGAAAACTTCTCTACACTTACAGGYGGCGTTTCTATAATATCATATGGATCCAATTCATCATACGGCAAATAATCCTCTGAACAAGAAAAGAAAAAATCAGTTAAAAAATAAAAAATAAATCATGCATAATATATAGAATGGCAAATTTCAATTTGATTGAACACAACTTGATACAAATATCAAGTCTGTTGAGATAAACATACGTATTCAGCTTAGATAAAAAATTACCTCTCACAGGATTCAACACTTTATGCTTAATTTTTCCAGCCAGTTTAGAGAACTCAGCCAATGGGTCAAACTTCTTTTTAGATGCTCTAAAAATAATGAGACACATAATAAGATACAAACATKCAMTACAGCGAAAAGGAATTCTACTCAGATAACTTTAATGCCTCTAAGCCAGTTTTTGAGCTCCATTTCATCAATAAAACAGAGGAACAATGGCAGGATAACTCAATTGGTCTAATGTACAATTGTTATTATCTAATATATTAGGTAAACATACCTGGATGCCTGTTTATTCAAAGGTCTAGCTGGGAGTCTACTACCACACAATAGTGARAAATACTGGAATATAAAAGGAATGCTTTTAATTTCAAAGCCATGTGTAACATAACACAAAACCAACATTACAACATTACATTTTAATGATTTTATTSTTCAATCRTCATTTGTAARGATTTRCAAGTTWMCACACTTGGTTTTCCTTTGCTTTGATTYGAATTTTTGAAAGGCATTACTCTTCTCTAAACATAACCTGCTAGCAGAGTTTCTTTTGCAGCTGTACAAATAGCTCCCAAATGCTAATTGATTACTTGTTGGGAACCTCAACAAAAGAGTATCTGCTTGTGTTTCCTCTGGAAGCACTCCAAAACTATATATTTGCACCACAACACAGGAAGCCCATTCACAATAGCTGTTTAACATTTAGCAAAATSTTGAGAAAGTCTAGYCAATGGTAAAACTTACATCATCACTTTGATAGAACAAAGGTAAAAATGYGCCCTCTAATAGGTTATATGCATGTTCATAGGCCCTGTATGGGAAAAATCAGAAAATTACAAATGGTACATTTACAATAACTGCACGTTACATTGTATTTCTTACTTTGACAAAAGAGCTGCCATTTTTAATCTCCCCATCTTATTCACAGGTCCTTTGATGGCTGCAAGTGAAAAAAAAGCTTCAAATTAATTATGATAACACTAAGAAAGCATTTCTAGAAGACTGGAGACACTTACAGTCTCTTATTCCTTCAGTGACATGTTTATCAAAGTTGATTCTATCGACGGCATTCACATCGAAGTAACTATTATACATTTCTTCTGCCTTGAAAAGGAAATATATATTACTGTTAACAAGATTTACTTTACTTATAGAATAACCTCCTCTTCATGCCTCCTCTATTACACCTTTTCAGTTGCTCTTAGGCCTCAATAGCAATAGAAATTATTCTTTTGAATTTGACAAATGAGACTATTCATATCAATGTTTGCATTGCTCACATTCCTACAAATTCAAAAGAATATTTAACATGCTGCCGAGGCCTAAGAGCAACTGAAAAAGTATATTGATGTACATCCATAAAAAATAAAAAAATATTTGTCTCATTGGGTACCTCTTTAATGAGAGATAACTCCTCTTCTGGAGAAACATCTGGTGCAAAAAACCTTTTGTTGAAATCCTCTACAATTAATAATAAGACCTTATTATTRATTGTTTGCTTTTGCATTCATACGAAATGCATTTCTAGGATGTGTGCAAGAGAGGTTATCAGACAAAATCTTTCAAATGAGACTATTACCAAACCAATAGGGTAAAACATGTTTAGACACTCCAACAATTGAATTAATCTATCTCATACCAAAAACTATTTCAACCCAACAAGCAAAACAAAATCCTTTCCTCCTTTGACYCACCCCACCAAAACCCTAACCTGACAAACCAAACCCTAAATGTGGCCCACACGTCCACTCAAYGTCCACCTAATGTCTACCTAACAATAAATAGGTGTAAATTAAACMAAAATACAACTACAMCCRATGTTTACCAATTGTCAAGCAAAATTGTAGAACATTCAAAGCAGCTTCTTTTCTCATAAACTGCATGAATGGAAATAAAGCAGTTTGAGAATGAAGAATTTCTCCTAAAGATAGATGAAGTGCCTGTAATGAAAATAATAGAAATTAATGCCATTTAGAAGCAACAACACCTGTCTTTGAGGCAGCTTACAGAGTTTCTTAGCGGAGCTCTTGGTTTGGCAAAATTTTCAAGGAATGGTGTTCTTGATGATGGTTCTTGATTGGATGGTACCATCTGTGATAAAAGGATAAAATAATGAAGTCTTTGTTATAAAAAACAATAAAAAAAACACTGTAAAATAAAATACTGTACTTTACAAGAATGTGTTTGATAAAACCTTTAATTGTGGTCCTGTTATGATAGTAAATCAWATCTGAATCTTTTTTTAACTTTTACCAGGATGATTTTTCTTTCAATAATTCAAAAAAAATATTTTATCATTTCAATCACTTCRTCAACTTACAGGTTGTTTGTCAAGAAAGACCAGCCATAAACTATTCACAAAATCCTAAATATCAAAATTGGAATAAGAATTAAAGACCACAGATGCAATTATTATCAGCTACAAAGCATTAAATAGAAATGTCAGACAGGGTCCGTGCAGAGTATCAAAAACAAAATTTAAGGACTTTTCAAGGACTTTTCCAGGACCAAAATTATATTTTCAAGGAGCATGAAAATCATGCTAATTGTACATTCTTATCTCAAAACTTCAGCCAAACGGAATAATTCAGAGATCGCTAGCGCTTCGTGATAGAGATCCATCTTTTTTAAGGAGTTTTCAAGGACTTTTTCGAAATTTTCAAATTTTCAAGGAGTTTCAAGTGCCCTTGAAAACGAGTTTTCAATTCAAGCACTTTTCAAGGATTTAAGGACCTGCACGGACCCTGGTCAGAGGAAGGGGAAAGATAGGGACTGAGGAGAGAGGGAGTGGGAGTAGGAGAGACCGTTGGTCAGCCTGTCTGATACTCAAAAGTCACAAGAATGGATGTGKGCTTACTGGATCAGATAACTTGTCCATAAGAGTGAGAAGAACAGCACCAGATAACAGTTCTCTCAGCAATGCAATAAGACTCCTGTAGAATAAAAGATATCAATAACAGTTCAAGAAGCTTTCATAATCATATACTAAAACACAAATCATCTATCTATCTCTACCTTTAAAAGTCTATCGTGACCACAGTAAAAATCCTTACCTGCACTTTAAAGACTGTGGGGGTAGTAGATGTGGCAAAACACCATCAGCAACCTTTCTAAGATACAATAATTCCATAGATCTACTGTGAAGTGCACTGTGCATATCGGCCTCTAGTAACTTTACTACAGAAGAAAGGTTCTCACTTCCTTCACTATCTTTCACTGAAACAGATTGGAGCACCTTATTTTAATACTTATCATATAGTTTTTATTATAAATCACAATTCTGATCTACTGATTTACTATCAGTTTCAGAASGATTTTTTTTACCTTTTTCCTTTGCTTTCATGTACCAGTCAAAGTGTTTCAAACCTTCTTTGAGAAGTTTTTCGGTCACAAAAGTAGGAATATCAACCTAAAAAAAGATTGAATTCTCATTAATAGCTCATCTTGAATTAAATTAATTTTGCTGCTGGTAAATTAATTATTTAGGCCATCTGTGGTTCAATGTAGTAAGAGTGTAGTTGCTGTATAGCCAGCGTCCACACAGCATTTACAGTCCCGATGTAATGAGGTTGACTTCTGACTCAATCAATATTTCATTCCATACAATGTCATTTGATTCCTTAAGCTAGCCAGACTGATTGCACTCAATACCAGCAAAACCCCAATAAAAATGCATTCCATACAAAGGATCTCTTARATTGCTAAATGACAAAACGTTTGTATTATGATAAATATAATACCTTTCTAACTCTTCTAACTAGTACAGAGGCAATATATCTAAGGCTGCTTCGCAACTCATCCACAAATGTATCATCAGTGCTGAGATCGCTGCAATTTAACAAAGATTTTTAGGATTTGTTTGCTAGAAAAAACACATTCTATTTTTCCATGATTAAGTCACTACATTTTCACGACCAGCAACGGAACTTACATATGCTATAGAGCTGATTTCATATGACTATGCAAAGGGATGCATGATTGCGTAGACATGATTTAAATGAAGCCTCACTTGTTAGTGATGACCAAATGAAAATTTCTTATTACTAATATACATGGAATACACAGGTAAAGAATACAAAGTCATACGAAAATACACCATTATATAATATAAGCCTAATACAATGAAGGATTGAGGTTAGAATTCATCCTTAGTYTATAAATAAAGTGATTTCTCTTTGAAATTCCACCTAAAACAATGCTCACCTGTACCATCCATAGACAAACCTCTGTAGTACCAAAGTGAGGAACTGTGTAGTAATAAAACAAAGAAAGGCAAACGTTTAAATATCAGTTTAGTATAATTATCCAGACAGACAGATGTCCATGGTTGGAAGACTGACACACAAACAGATACAGACTGAATAATTGACTGCTTACATCATCAATGGCAATGTCCACTGATTCAGGACAGTCAAGGCCAACCCATGGTTGTATCTTTACTAAYGCTACTTCAGGTCTGGAAAAGAAGAATATAAAACAAAAGATACAATCTGACAAAAGATACATGTATGCCATAACAAAGTGTGCAAATACATGCATGATGAATGTTGTGTCAAATTGCTTTCACCGTAATAGTTCATACCTATGTCTTTGACATTTAGCACTTCCACATATTGTGCATCCTTTAGGAAGCAAAAGCTTATCATCATCTTCATACGTCACCTAAACAAAAACAAACAAAGTATATACTCTACCACACTAGACTATGATACTGTACCACACTAGGTAGACTATCACACTAGGTAGACTATAATACTGTACCACACTAGGTACACTATCACACTAGGCAGACTATGATACTGTACCGCACTAGGTACACTATCACATCAGGTACACTATGATACTGTACCGCACTAGGTACACTATCACACTAGGTAGACTATAATACTGTACCGCACTAGGTACACTATCACACTAGGTAGACTATAATACTGTACCGCACTAGGTACACTATCACACTAGGTAGACTATGATACTGTACCGCACTAGGTACACTATCACACTAGGTAGACTATGATACTGTACCGCACTAGGTACACTATCAAACTAGGTAGACTATGATACTGTACCGCATTAGGTACACTATCACACTAGGTACACTATGATACTGTACCGCACTAGGTACACTATCACACTAGGTACACTATGATACTGTACCGCACTAGGTACACTATCACACTAGGTA